CGTGTGAGGCGGGGCCACGCGGTGGGCGGGGCACGCGGTGGGCGGGGCCGCCTCTGCCGCAGTGCTAGACAGGATGGAGCAATGTGAGGGGCGGGACAGCATATGGGCGGGGCCACACAGTGGGCGGGGTAGTGTGAACAAGTGGTGGGTGGGGAGACGTGAGGGGTGGGGGCTAGGCACTGGGCGGGGAAACCTGAGGGGTGGGGAGGTCCGGTGGGTGGGGCTTCATGGTGGGTGTGGATGCATGGTGGGCGGGGTCAAGTCGGGTCAGTCCCCCAACCCCCAGACCCACCAACCCCCAGAGAAACATCCAAATACCTGGAGACTCAGCCACACCAGAAACTGCAGGACACCCAAAGACCATTTAACTTAAAAAACAAACAAAAACAGAACAACACCTCTCTCTATCATGTATCTCTCTACGTTTGTTGTAGCAGGTGTTACTGGGTTGGAACTCAGGCTTTGAGCTTGCTAAGCAGGTGCTCTACCGCTAGAGCCATACCCAGTCCTTTGGCTTTAGTTTATTTTTCAGATTGAGACCCCTTTTTATGCTGGGGGTGGCAGGGACTGCAGTCCTTGTATTTACACTCCCTGCCTAGTTGGAACTATAGTTACACAGCACTAGGCCAAGCCACTGATGAGATGAAGTATCAGACTTTTGGCCAAAACTTCGATCCTCCTGATCTCTGCTTCAGATTTACTGATGTAAGCTAGCATGTCTTTGTTGGAGGCAGACTTGGGGCTTGAACTCAGGGCCTGGGCTGTGTCCCTGAGCTATTTCACTCACAACTTGAGCCACAGCTCCACTTCCAGCATTTTGCTGGTCAGCTGATTGACTGGTGGTAAAAGTCTTAGCCAGGTGTCAATGGTTCATACCTCTAATCCTAGCTCTTCCGGAGGTTGAGCTCTGAAGGCTGTGGTTCAAAACCAGCCTGGCCAGGAAACTCCATGAGACTCTGAGACTCTTTTACCTCCAGTGAACCACCAGAAAACCAGAAGTGGTGCTGTGGCTCAAAGTGGTTGAGCACTAGCCTTGAGTAAAAGAGCTCAGAGACAGTACCCAGGCCTTGAGTTCAAGATCTACAACTGACAAAATAAACCCCAAGAGTTTCATAGACTTTTCTGCCTAGGGTGGCTTTGAACTGTAGTTAGGATGACAGGTGTTGAGCCACCCCTGCGCAGCCCATTTCACTGCTCTTTGAAACCCATGCTGGTGTCTGGCTGTGCCATCACCCAGCAGCTCACACGCAGCCGCATCAGTTGCGGGAGATCTAGACTCAGTGTCCACAGCCAGATGCAGACATAGCATCTCCTTGGCAGCTAGATCTCACAGTCAGTCTCCACACTGCAAATGCCATTCCTGCCACGGGCCGGGGTGCCTAGCTGTCACCACCTCATCCCACAAGCTCACCAGAGACCTTTCCTATAACACAGCCCAAACCCACACACAGGGCTGGGTTGTGCCCGCAGCCGGAGCCGTTCCCTGGCAGGCCCAAGAAGGTAGCCCTTCCTGGGCCCCAGTGTCGCTATGGCCTGGCTCCTGCTGGTCTTTTCTTCTCCTGGATCCTCCCAGTCCAGGCAAAGGCTCTGGAAAGAGCAAGGTGACCCCTGGTGACCCAATTGCCCATTTGTCTCCCCCAAGATGCCCCCCAGTCCCCGGGTGAGGGCGGCCCCAGCTGTTCAGCCACCAACCTGAGCCGCGTGGCAGGGCTGGAGAAGCAGCTAGTCATCGAGCTGAAGGTCAAGCAGGGGGCAGAAAACATGATCCAAACCTACAGCAACGGCAGCACCAAGGTGGGTGCCTCCATCAGGTTCTAGAACATTCCATCACCCTGACACCTTGCAACACCATCCTCATTAGCAAACCTTTCCCACCCCCCCCCCCCCCCCGCCCTGCACCCCGGCCCCTGGCCACCACCAATCTGCTTCCAGTGTGGCTGTGTCCACCTGTTGTGGATAGTTAGAGTGACATGTTTACATCCCCTGGGCTCTGTTGTTCCCCTCCATGCGTGAGCACTGGGACCCCAGGCATCCAGGGGGCCTGCACAGTGGGGATGGAGCCAAGCCTGGACTCACCTTTCACCCGCCAGGACCGGAAGCTTCTGCTCACTGCCCAGCAGATGCTGCAGGACAGCAAGACCAAGATCGACATCCTCCGCATGCAGCTCCGGCGGGCCCTGCAGGCCGGCCAGCTGGAGAGCCAGGCAGCTGTGGACAGCCTTCAGGGTGAGTCTCGCACTTGACACAGCCTAGCCTGCACTGCACCCTGCAGGCCTCCACCTCCAGCCCCAGGAAGCATTGTTTTGGGGGTAAAGAAAAGGGTACTGTGATTCACTGTGCGACGTTGTGAGTTCTGTCCCAGGCAAGGTTTGGATTAGATTGTTATTATTACCCAGCTGAGCCCTGTCCGGCCAAGGCCACCTTTTGTTTCCTTGTGAATAAAGTGTGTCCCCTCCCCTGTCCTGAGGCTTGAACTTAGGTTAGGGCCTGAGTGCTGCCCTTGAGCTCTTTCACTCAAGGCTAGCACACTGCCACTTTGAGCCAAAGCTCCACTTCCAGTTTTCTGGTGGTTCATCGGAGATAAATCTCAGGGACTTTTTTGCCCAGGTTGGCTTTGAACCTGGATCCTCAGATCTCAGCCTCCTGAGTAGCTAGGATGACAGGCGGGAGCCACCTGGCAGCGAAAAAGGTTTTTCGGCACATAGTCCTGACCACTTCTTAGCTACTCTTTCACCATCTTCTTTTTTGTGACATTCTACACATGTAGTCCAGGCTGACATTGAACTCCTGATCCTCCCATAATTCCAGCACTGAGAAAGCTGAGGCGGATTAGGAGTTCAAGGCCAGCTTGTGCTTTATGGAGAGACTCATGTCAGAAAGTTAAAAGAACAACCAGGTCCAAGGGGGAACTCAATGGTAGGTGCAAAGCCCAGGGAAGGCCTGGCTAAGTAGCAGGGGTGTGGCTTGTTGACAGGGGTGTGGCTGGCGCTGGAGATGGTTTGTTGGGGGTGTGGCTAAGATGTGGAGTTTGGTGGAGGTGTGGCCAATAAGTGGGTGTGGTTTTTCAGGGGGTGTGGCTTGAGACTTGGAGTGTGGCTTTCACTGGAGGCCTGGTTGGGGAAGTGGGTGTGGCTTGTTGGTAGGGGGCGTGTCTCCCTGGTAGAGCAATTGCCTAGCAAGGTTAAGGCCTTGGGGTCCTATTCCCCAGCACTGCAAAATTAATCTTTAATAAATTAATGATTAATTAAAATGCAGTCTAGGGGAGGGTGCATAGATTGTAAGTGTCACACCCTCCCTGTGTTATCTGATCCACGGAGGTTAGGACTGTAGTACAGTGTGACCCTGCGTCAGGGCCCAGCATAGGCGACGTTCAGCCCGTGGGTGACAAATGTCCTACTCTGCGTGACAGCACGTCTTGCCCCTGTGGGGCACTGGGTGGCCCCTGTTCCTCCCTGGGTTGGACTTAGTCCTGGGACTTTTTTTTTTTTTTTCGTCACTCGTGGGGCCTAAACTCTGGCCTGAGCGCTGTCCCTCAGCTCTTCAGCTCAAGGCGAGCGCTCTACCACTTGAGCCACAGCGCCACTTCCGGTTTTCTGGTGGTTCATTGGAGAGAAGAGTCTCACAGACTTTCCTGTCCAGGGTGGCTTTGAACCGAGACCCTCAGATCTCAGCCTCTGAGTAGCTATGAGTACAGGCCTGAGCCACTGGCACCTGGCAATCCTAAGACTTTTGTGGCAAACCAACATTTTTGTCCCTGTTCTTGGCCTTGCCTGTGGCCAGCCATGGCATTGGGTCTTGGCACCGAGGCCCTCTGCCACTGTAAAATCCCTATGCCTAGATGAAGGGCGGAATGTGTATCATGATAGAGCCAGGCCCGCCTGGCAGTGGCCTGGTGGGAATGTGACTGCTTTTATGATTCGGGTCTTTGCCTGCAGGTGGCAGTGTTGGTACGATCAGTGGTGTAATGGTGTCTCTTAATATCTGTTTTAGTCAGCTTGGGCTGCTGTAGCAAAGTTCTACAAATCACATGTCTTACACAACAAATGTGCTCGTTTCAAGCCAAGTGTGGTGGCTCAAGCTTGCAATCCCAGCTACTTGAGAAGTGGAGGTATGATGATCATAGTTTCAAGCAGGCCTAAGCAAAGTTAGGAAAACAAAGTAAAATAACAGAGCCATGACTCAGTGATAGAGTTCTTGCCTAGCATGCATCAGTCTGAGTTCTGAGCTCATACCCCAGTACCAAAAACATTAAAAAAGGCCGGGTGCTGGTGGCTCACGCCTGTAATCCTAGCTACTCAGGAGGCTGAGATCTGAGGATTGCGGTTCAAAGCCAGCCCGGGGCAGGAGAGACCGAGAGACTCCTATCTCCAATAAACCACCAGAAAACCGGAAGTGGTGCTGTGACTCAAGTGGTAGAGCGCTCGCCTTGAGCTAAAGAGCTGAGGAGCAGCGCCCAGGCCCAGAGTTCAAGCCCCACGACCAACAACAAAAAAAAAAAAAGACATTAAAAAAAAAGTCTTTGGTGCCAGTGGCTCACTCCTGTAATCCTAGCTGCTTAGGAGGCTGAGATCTGAGGGTCATGGTTCAAAGCCAGCAGGGGCAGGAAAGTCCTGTGAGACTCTTATCTCCAATGAACCACCAGAAAACCAGAAGTGGTGCTGTGGCTCCAAGTGGTAGCATGCTAGTTCAAGTTCCACAACTGACAAAAAAGAAATCTCACAATGTGGAGAGCTGGAAATGTGGGACCTGGGTGACAATGTGGAAAGCACTCTGGTGTCTGTGTTGTTGTTGTTGTTTTGGTCAGACGTGGGTGCCTGAGCTCAGCCTGCGCGCTGTCCCTCAGTTCTTCAGCTCAAGGCCAGCACTCTACTACTTGAGCCATAGTGCCACTTCTGGTTTTTTCTGTGTATGTGGTGCTGAGGAATCGAACCCAGGGCCTCATGCATGCAAGGCAAGCACGCTACCACTGAGCCACCTTCCTAGCCTCATGTTGTTGTTTTTGGTCAGTTGTGGGGTTTGAACTCAGGGCCTGGGTGCTGTCCCTCAGTATTTTTGCTCAAGGCTAGCGCTGTACCACTTTGAGCCACCATGCCACTTCTGGCTTTTTGCTGGTTCATGGGAGATCAGAGTCTCACAGACTTTCCTGCCCTGGCTGGCTTCGAACTGTGATCCTCAGATCCCAAGCCTTTTGAATAGCTAGGATTACAGGTGTGAGCCACTGGCACCTGACAAGTTTCTCTGATACTTTTTTTTGGTGATGTCATTGTTCTTGTTTTATACTGCATTTGGAACCCAGGACCTCCTCTGTGCTAGGCAGTTGCTCTAATACTGAGCCATGCCCCCAGCTCTGGTGTCTTTTCTTAAGAAGTCACTAATCCCTCAGGACCTCATGTAACCCTAATCACCCTGTAAACATCCCATATGCCAATGCCATCATATTGGGAGGGGGCACACACATTCCTGTGCCCTGTACCTCCCACCCTATGGCTCCAATGCCAACCCTGTGTGGCAGCCTGAATGCATACGAGTGTCTCTGGTGTGTGTGTTTGTGTGTGCCTCTTCTGTGGCATGGAAATGTATGAGCATCTTACAGCAACTTGATTATCCCCCTGTGGGCGATGATCCCTGGTGAGATCTGAGGACCACAATTCAAAGCCAGCAGATACAAGAAAGCCCATGAGACTCTTCCCTCCACTGAACCACTAAAAAACCAGAAGTGGAGCTGTGGCTCAAGAGCTAGAGCCTCAGCCTTGAATGGAAAAGCTCAGGGTCAGAGCTGTCCAGGCCCAGTGTTCAAGACCCAGGACTGGCACACACATGTTCACACACACACCCCTAAAGAGCACAAAGCACTCGGGGTGAAGTGTCCTTCTGCCCGAGGATGGTGGATGGCGGCCTGGCCCCGTGGGGTCACCCCAGGGCTTCTCTGGTGACCCTAGGCCGGCCTCACCGCTCCGTGGCCCTCGCCCACAGGCGGTCCAGACCTGGGGGCGGTGGAGCTGCGCATCGAGGAGCTGCGACACCACTTCCGGGTGGAGCACGCGGTGGCCGAGGGCGCCAAGAACGTGCTGCGCCTGCTCAGTGCGGCCAAGACCCCCGACCGGAAGGCGGTCAGCGAGGTGAGGGGCGGGACCTCGTGCAGTGCTGGGCTGTGGTGGGCGTGGCCTTGTGGGGGCGGGGCACCGGGAAGATCACCAGTAGTGATAGGCCGAGGGGAAGGGTGTGTGGTTTTGTGAGGGGGCGGGGCCTCCGCAGGGTGGCTCTTGAGAGGGGGCGGGCCTTGGCTGGTGGGCGGGGCCTAGGCTGAGAACTTGCAGGGTGGGGTCTCAAGGAGGGGGAGGGCCTCTATGAGGGGCAAAGCACCAGCCAGGGGCTGGGTGTCGGTAGGGGTGGGGCATGCTTATTGGATATCAGCAGGGGCGGGACACCAGCAGGGGCGGGGCACCAGCAGGGGCGGGGCATGCTGGATAGGGGTCATGGGGGGCGGGATGTACTTGTTGGGCGTCATGGGGGCGGGGCACCAGCAGGGCATCCACTGGGAACAGGGTCCCCCCCCCCACACCATAGCCAGAAGATAGGTCCTTCGTTTTTCCGGGATCCCCAGGTTAAACCATGTTGGTTCGAGAAGGTTTCAGGCTCCAGGGAGAAGTTGCCCAAGATGTGTGTGGGGGGGGGGCGATGCTGGTGACCTGCCCCAGCCCCTCCCACAAGGTGCCCGTCCCCCAACCCCCTCTCCCCCCCACATACACTCCAGGCCCAGGAGAAATTGACCGAGTCCAACCAGAAGCTGGGGCTGCTGCGCGAAGCGCTGGAGCGGAGGCTTGGGGAGCTGCCTGCCGACCACCCCAAGGGGCGGCTGCTGCGGGAGGAGCTGGCCGCCGCCTCGTCCGCGGCCTTCAGCGCCCTGCTCAGTGGGCCCTTCCCAGCCACGCACTACAGCACCCTGTGCAAGCCCGCCCCGCTCACGGGTGGGCTGCCCCGCCCCACTGTCCCCACCCCTGGCCCGAGAAACCCCGTCCGCCTCGCATGCTGCCGCACCTGCCCGCGTCTCATTCCGGACTTTGGGCCTCCTCCCGCCCTGTCCGCTCACCCTCCAAGCCCTTCCGCACCCCGCTTCTTCCTCAGTCCTACTCTTTCTGGTCCTTAGCCCTGGCCTGCGAGCCCCCCGAGACCACAGCCCCGTATTCTCACGGATCTAGGCCTCCCCAGCCCCGCGCTGAGCCCTGGCGGCCCCACATCCACAGGATAGCCCCCCCCCGTCTCCCCTTTCCTCCCTCCCTTCCCCTCCCCTCCTGCCCCCCCTCCACGTGGCCCCACTATTGCCTGTCCTTCCACAGGGACCCTGGAGGTACGCATCGTGGGCTGCAGAGACCTCCCCGAGACTATCCCCTGGAACCCCTCGCCCTCCGTGGGGACACCTGGGACCCCCGACAGCCGCGCCCCTTTCCTGAGTCGCCCAGCCCGGGGCCTTTACACCCGGAGCGGAAGCCTCAGTGGGCGCAGCAGCCTCAAGACAGAAGCCGAGAGCCCCGGTGAGTTGGCAGGAGCAGCGAGGCGGGGTGCTGGGCGCCCCAGGTTATGTAGCGATGCGGAGGGGGAGGCTCACTAGGCCTCCCCGGCTGGTGTTGGACTCCTTGGCTCAAGCGCGCTTCCTGCCTTGGTCTCCCGGGTAGCAGGGCCCCCGGGGCCGCCAGCTTTCCTCACCCATGTGTCACACCTCCTCAAGCCTGCGATCCCAACCGCAACATCAATGAAGCCACCCGCAGGAAGAGCAAGAGTGGCAAAATCAGAAGGGGGGTCACGCGAGGAGAAACTGCGACCTTGGTGTGCAGTCTCTGTGCGCAGCTGCGGGGGGGGGGGAACCAAGACCAGAGAGACCGATGGCTGTGCAGAAGCCAGGTCTAAAATACGCCCTGGACCTGATCAGTGATACAGGAGGCCAGGCATGCGCACCGTGAGGCTGCAGGAGGACACTCCGGGAGGAGCATGGAGGCGCAAGGCCTCAGTGCCTCTGATCCTATTAATTTCTATTGGAGTGAAATACAGAAGATGGAAAACAACAACAGCAGCTAGGGCTGGGGCGTGGCCAGGGCTGGGGGCGTGGCTTCGCAGCCGACGCCCCTTCTCTTGGGGGCGTGGTTTTGGTGCAGGGGCGGGGCCGCTCTGTGCCAGGTTGGCTTTGCTGGCCCTCGGCCTGAGAAAGGAAAAGGTAGGAGGTCCCAGGGTCCGTGGCTCACGCCTATAATCGAAGCTTCGGAGGAGGCTGAGCTCTGAGAATGGAGGTTCGAAGCCAGCCCCGACAGAGAAATCCGGGAGAATTATCCAGCACAAAGCTGGAACTTGTTGCTCTGTGGTAGAGTATTAATCCTTTGAATGGAAAGACCTGAGGGGGACACCTGGAGGTCAAGGTCCAGAACTGGTACCCAGAAAAAAGGAAAAAAAATATTAAACAGTTTACCGTAGGAGCCACCTCCTCTCCTGGTGGGCATATAAGAAGGGATGTCTGGGTTTCTGTATTTATAGCAGCATTCCCAGCAACCCGAGGAGGGAAGAATGCCCAACCACACACGCGGATGGATGAGTGGATAAACAAAATGTCCTAGATTCCCATAATGGAATAGCACTCAGCTTTAAAAGGAAGGAAATCCTGCCCCGTGCTACCACGCAGATGAACAATAGGCAAAGGGCAAGAAGCCAGTCACAAGAAAGATAAATACTGGGATGGGAGTGGTAGCGCACATTTGTAGTCCCAGCATGTGGGAGCCAGCCTGGGCTAAAGGGCAAGAGCCTGTCCCCCCAAAAAAACAAAAAGGTGAGAGACAGAGAGAGAGGGGGAAAGGGATGATAAAAGTCTCCTAGAATTATCTTTCCAAGCTAGCTTTGAACCAGAATCCTCAGATCAGCTGTGAGTACAGGCATGAGCTACCGGCACTTGATGAACAGGCTTTAACATTAAAAGCAAACAACAAACTGAATGCCTGGTGTGGTGGCTCACACCTGTCATCCTAGCTATTCTGGAGGCTGAGATCTGAGCGTCATAGTTCAAAGCCAGCCTGGGCAGGAAAGGCCATGAGACTCTTATCTCCAATAAACCACCAGAAAACCAGGAGTGGCGCTGTGGCTCAAGTGGTAAGTGCCAGCCTTGAGCTGAAGAGCTGAGGGACAGCGCCCAGGCCTAGAGTTCAAGCCCCACGACCAACCAAAAAAAAAAAATAAAACTGAAAAAGTTGTGCCAATTTGGAGTAGCAGAATGTGAGCGTGTGTGCATGTGTATTTTGAGGGGATGCCAGAGAAAACCCCCACAATGCCTAACCTCGCACCCCGGTTCCAGGCGAGGTCCGGACGGTGCTGAAGCTGGATAACACGGCGGTGGAACAGACTTCCTGGAAGCCGTGTGGCCCCAGTGCCTGGGACCAGAGCTTCACCCTGGAGCTGGAGAGGGTGAGCTGGTGGGGGGGGGGTCACGCCTGGGTGAGCTGGTGGGGGGGGTCATGCCTCACCAGGGGTTCTGGGCTTGAAGCACCCATATGTGACCATCCTGTTCCCCCCCCCAGGCACGGGAACTGGAGCTGGCTGTGTTTTGGAGGGACCAGCGGGGCCTGTGCGCCCTGAAATTCCTGAAGTTGGAGGATTTCTTGGACAATGAGAGGCACGAGGTGCAGTTGGACATGGAGCCCCAGGGCTGCCTGCTGGCTGAGGTACGCCCCCACTCAGATCCCAATACCCTTCCCCTGCCTCCTCTAGCCCATGCCGAAGCAGAAGGAATGCATTGCAGGGAAGGAGGGGGAGCTCAGCCTTCATAGAGTAGTACATGTAAACCTGGGGCTGGTGCTACCCCTGTAATCCTAGCTACTCAGGAGGCTGAGGTCTGCCCATCGGGGTTCAAAGCCAGCTTGTGAAACTTATCTCCAATTCACCACCAAAAACTCAAGCAGGGAGAGCACCGTTCTAGGAAAAAGTTAAGGGGCAGCAGCACTCAGGCCCTGAGTTCACGTCCAAGTATTGGCACAGGGAAGAAGGGAGGGAGGGAGAGAGGGAGGAAGGGAGAGAGGGAGGAAGGGAGAGAGGGAGATAGGAAGGAAGGAAGAGAAAGGAAAAGGAAGGAAGACAGACAGACAGGCCTGGTGGCCTAATTATGGCGACTGCCGGGTGGGGCGGAGAGATTCCTGGGGGTTCTCTTGGGGTTTGGGTCTCCCCGCCGCTGTGCTGCTCCCATTTTGGAGCTGGGTCGTCGTTCCCTGGGGTCGGTCTGTACACGGTAGGTCTTCCTGCTGCATTTCTGGTCCCCGCACCCACACTCCAAGGCCAGTCACCCTTCCGCCCCCCACCTTCCCGGCTTGACAGCGAAGAAGTCTCCAGATGGGGGTTCCTCGGCTGAGAACCCTACAGTCCTCCTAGCCGACCCCTGGTAAATGTGAGCGATCGTGCTCAATGCCGTATTTTCTTTTTGCCCACGAACCCAGCAGTTCACCCCAGAGCCCCCCACAAAACAGACCGGCTCTCCCTTGCATTCGACAGATGGAGGAGGAAACTCAGGGTCAAGCGGGGCAAAGTCACCGGGTCTGGTTTGGCCAAACGATCCCAAGAAAATTACTCTCAGATGTATGGGTGTGGCCTAGCGGCAGGGTGGAGCTTGGTGGTGGGGGCGGGGCCGAGATACAGGGGCGGGGCCATTTTGTGGGCAAGGCTTTGCTGCTGAAGGCTTATGGTGTGATTGGTTAGTGGGTGTGGCCCGATGACAGGGGTGTGGCTTTGTAAAGGGGGCGTGGTGTGATGCTGTAGTGGGCCTGGCTGGCTGAAGGGGGCGGGTCGTGATTATGTGTGGTGGGTGTGGCCTGCTGAAGGGGAGTAGTGATTCAAAGGGGGCGTGGCTTGTGGAACAGGGCGTGTCCTGCAATGGGCGTGGCTGGTGGTGGGCGTGGCCCGCCGTGGGATGTCTCCAGCCAGGCCCTTCCTTATAAACTTCCCACCCTGCGGCCGCCCAGGGATCCAGGATCCCATCAAGCGGGAGTGATGGATCTGTGTGACCCCCACCTCGGGCCGAGCCCTGGGGACCAATCACCCCTCCAGCCCCCGCCCCGAGGCTTGGGCTTGGAGCTATGTGACCCCCACGACTTCGGGGGCTGCAGACTCCACCCCCGGGTTGCCCCCGCCCCGGGCGCAGGGCCCCTCACCGCCCCGCTGCCCTTTCCAGGTCACTTTCCGCAACCCCGTGATCGACAGGACCCCTCGGCTGCGGCGACAGAAGAAGATATTCTCCAAGCAGCAAGGTGAGGGGGGCGGCGGGGGGCGGGGTGTGGCTGGGCCCGCCCTCCCCCCCCGTGTGCCTCCCAGGGGGTGACACCTGCCCCCCCCCCCAGGGAAGGCGTTCCAGCGCGCCCGGCAGATGAACATCGACGTGGCCACGTGGGTGCGTCTGCTGCGGAGGCTCATTCCCCACGCCGCGGCCACGGGCACCTTCAGCCCCGGCCCCGCGCCCGGCTCCGAGCCCCGGCCCGTGGGGTAAGGAGTCCTGCCTGCCCCGCCGCCCCCACCCCCCCCCCCCAGCCTGCCCCACACCCGCCTCCTCCTCTCCCCTGCAGTGACATCTCCATCGAAAAACTCAACCTCGGAGCCGACTCGGACAGCTCGCCCCAGAGGAGCCCACCGGGCACCCTGTCCAGCCCATCCAGCCTGGTGCGTGTCCGCCTCTTCTCTGCTCTTGCGGTCCTGCTCCATTTTTAGAACCATCTAGAACTTGCTGGGGTCACCCAGACGGTTGTGGCACAACCGGACCACGTTTGCTGCGGGGGAGGAGGGCGGCAGGAAAGGGCCTTGAGGGTGTTTCTCAGTGATATGGTGTGCATGTAGCATGTGCAAAGGCCCTGGGGTCCAAGAAGGAAAAAGTGTTCTCTGTGTCCTGGCTTTGTGACCCACAGAAGGTAACTATACCTCTCTGCACCATCAGGTGCAAGAAGCATGTTTGAAATGCACACTTTTAACAGGGTTATGTCTGTCTGGGTCTAGGGGGCCTCTAGTGATTGTCCTGCCTCAGCCTCCCTACTAGCTGGGACTGTAGGCATGCCACAGAATGCCTGGTCCAAATGCATTTTCTACTTCATTTCCTTTACCCCTCCCCCCCCCCCCCCCCCCGCCCCGCACTTGGGGTTGTGGGGGGGGGGGGGGGGGGGGGGAACCAAGACCAGAGAGACCGAT